CAAAACGTTCGTTAAATATTTAAAAGTAATTGTTTGAACTCAAATTTAAATCTTACAAATGATTGTCTAAATAAATCAAATTTAAAGTTCGAAAATCTCAATCTTTATAATTTATTTGTTTCGTTTTTTTTTTTTCTGTAGCTTATCATGTGCTATGTTTGTTAAGTACTGTAGTCAACTTTTGTGATGAGGATGGCAATTCAAATTGATCCAAAAAAGCATGCAATGAATTGACAAACATAAAAAATGCATGCAACAAATGTTACTGAAAAATTTATCTTCCAAATTGGAAATGATTTTTCTCTTCCCTTTAAAGTCTAACTAAATAACTATTTAGTATCACTTTTTTTTTTTTTTTTGCTAATAATGTAATTACTTTATCATTTCAGGACAATTAAAAAAGTCTTCAAATGATTAAAAAATGTTTTAAGAATAACACCAAGGATGATGAGATTGATATCAGCTAATTTCAATTAGCCTATATCAAAGGACGAACAATGGGGTTAATTAATAAGAAGATTGATAAATATCATAGTAGTTGACAAATTCATTTTATCTATGCAACAAATAAATTTACAACACAAACTTAAACAATACAAAATACTTTACCAAACAATTTTAATATTTAGTAATTAAATGAAAAAAAAAAAATCTCTTAACAAATATCAGGCATAAAAAAATTTTAATTAATTACAAACAAATTGATACCAAATTAATACAATTAATGAAGGGAAATGGCGAGAAAAAAAAAAGGAAAAGAAAATAAATTAGTCTAGCAAAAAGTAATATGGAATGAAATACGAATTAAATATCACGAAAAAAAAAGTCAATAGCCTAAAAAAAAAAAAAAAGAGAAAAAAAACGAACAAGCAAATAAACAAACATTCTGGAGAAAACTAATAATTTAAGCTTCAAAACAACGTGAAAAAAAAAGTCTTTTGAGTTATGATTCTCATCATTAAAATCATTTCACCAAATTGATAAAATTTGATGACATCAACTACTTGATGACATGAACATTAATTTAACTTGAATGATTTACTCAGAACAAGCTTATACTATCTTTCATTATTTATCTAGGAAAATTTATACCATACTCTTTCTTAATTTCGATGAATCTAAAAATTAATTTCCCTTTTTTTTGTTTTTTTTGTTTTTCTTTTTATTTCTTATTTTTTGTCTTTTTATTTTCCATTACTGTTTTTCGTTCTTTTTTTCGTTTTTGTTTTTTATTGTTTTTTTGAAACTTCCTCTCTATTTTAAAAATTTACTAACTTTGTGAGAGTCTAAGTTTGATGATTTGGTCATTCGTGGATGAATTTGAATGACAATGTATTGACTGTGTCGCTCTGATCCGTTCTTATATGATCAACTATGGAAAGATAAAAGGTAAACATTTAATAAAGTTTCAAATACCATATTTTTCAAATCTACATGAATTTTTGAAAAATCTAACTTTTATGTAAAAGCACAGTGCTTCTAGACGACTGTCCAACAATACCAAACGTCTCTATTTGATGAAGCACTTCTGGCTTCAAAGCATCTTCTGCAGTCGCCTTCCGACATCATTTCAGAAAATGTTATTCCATTGTTGGCAGTCGATGTTCTATATCATATCCTGGCAACATGCTGATATAACATTAACATCACAGATAGAAGTTACAAAAAAAAAAAGAGGTAGGTCAAGTGATATCAGTTTGATGTGTAAAAAAAAAAAAAAAAATGTATCCATGAGACGTACTGGCGTCATTCCCAACGAAGCTTAAGCTAAAATGATGATCAGAATCCGGATATGTGGAACAATGAAACATTAAGAGAAAGTAAATATAATGAATGAAAATTTTTTCAAACTTTAGAATTTGATCAGTTCTAAATCGATGAAGAAAATCATTCATCCTCTTCATATTTATTCATTCATTTGCAAAATGAATGAATAAAGAAATACATACATACCAATTGAAATTGATTCCTTTATATTCCATACAATTATGTAACGATATGCTACCAGTGTTAGATCGTAATTGATCATCAAATTACTCCGGGTTTGCCATTAATTTTAAGTAAATTAAAAAAGTCCCAAATCTGCTGAATCCTCAAACCTTCCTGGTATCGATGTCACCGACATCATTATGAGCTGCAATCATCTGCAATAAATAAAAGCTACACTAAGCATTTTCTTTTTTGTCCCATCAACAAAGAGACATATATATTAAAAAAAAAATAAAATAATAATTGAACTTACAGCCACAATTTGCAAAATGCTAATTGCACTTCTCCAACTACATTTTTTATTACTGATACTATCAAGTCTTTCTGATCCATTTGAGATGCTTGGATCTTCTCCACTTCTTTATTATCTTTATCAGAGATGCGTAATCGATCGAATTTGCAAATAAGGATGGCTATATCTTCATCATTCATCCTCATTATCAGTAATCACGAGGATAAACAATTCATATATCTAAAATTCATAAATCAGATACAGTCGTTATCCTGATGAGTACATCTGTGGCGTGTTCGATGTCCATATTATTTATGCTGAAAGTTACCGTTATCATAATTGATCAAAAAAGAACTCATATATTTCAAGAGTTAATAAAATTTATGGAGAGAATGATTAACATAACTTACAGCTGATGGGTTTATATCAATCTAGGTTTATATCAATCTTCAAATATTTTGAAGCTACAATATTCCAATGTTTATATCTTGTGTATAACAACAACAACAAAAAAAAAAAATTATTATCTTATAAATGCATGCAAACAATAATTTGCAGATATCGCAGCAGAAATCTCATCTTTCCATTTTCGAGAGTTTTGAATCAAAACATCTGGCTCTTCTGGCTCTTTTTGTACAAGAATATTGTCACCATTGTTGCCTGATAAATTTTATTCATGATGTATGATTTGCAATTCTTTGAAATATTCATTCCTAATTTTATTATTCAAATTTTGAAATTTATGAGTATTACTCCTTAAAGTTTAATGACATAAAATGTTTTACAAATGGTCATATTTGTCATATCACTCGTGAATATATTATTTCACTCCAGTTCAAAATTTGAACCACATTTCTGTCCGTTAAAACTATATTACACTTTAAATAACTCTTGCCAAAATTAACTATTTTTGTTATCACAAATGCAAAAAAAAAAAAAAAAAAGAAAAAAAATACAAAGTCATAATGAAAACAAAGCATTTTCTTGATCTTTTTTCTCGATTAGTCTTAGAACTTTGCATTGATTGACAAAGTGCCTCATTAAAATATGGCCTTTAATTATCTTGAGGCCAATTATAGTAAAAAAAAAAATTGTTCTTTAATCGTTTTAACTACGATATTTTCAAATTCCAGCAACAATCCTGCAGAAGATTCTACCGAATCATACTTG